TACCGGCTCGGGTTGATTTGTAAACAATGGGTGACGCAGCGCCGGACGGTACCACCGCGCGGGACGGGGAGGGGCGTGCGAGGCGGCGTCCCGGCGCGGGGCGACCAGCGGGGCTCCGGGGGGTGGCCTGGGCCTCATGGCCTCTGACCTCAGAACCTGCCCGTGCGGGAGGGGCTTCCGGGAGTGCGGAGAGCGTCGGCACGCCCCCCCGACCGATGGGCAACGGGAGGACGTGGACCCTCGGAGGTGGTCTGACTTGGTTTCTCCCACTCACGGACACGCCCACACGCACGCCACCCGCCCCGCCCCCTGTCCTCGGACGCTTCCTCTCTCCCCACGTGTCCGCCCCGCTTGGGCTCGCGCGGCTCCGCGCTCCCCGGCCCGCTGCAGCCCGGCCCTAGTGGGGAGCGGGAGGGGCAGCCGTGGGAGGGTCCGGTGTCCGAGAAGTGGGGGCTGGAAGAGGTGGAGGGCTTTACACAGAGGCACCTCGATCCCAGGTAGGGGTCCCCGAGCCTGCGCCCACCCAATCCTCAAGCCTCCGGGGACCTCGCGAGAAAAGGAAATCGGGAATCACCGGCCGGCGCAGGAGTGACTGTCCTGTTACAGAAAAACCAAAAAGGGCCCTACGGAAATGCAGGACGGTGGGAAAATCGTATGCTCGCCAGACTCAACCATGGTTCCTTCTTTTGGAAAAAGACCGCCGTTCCAGCTTCTTCTAGTACAGCGTGTTCTGCAGGCACCCTTAACAATGTCTGTACGTCTTCCGTTCGCGTTGCATCATAAACGTTGCTCGTGTTATTGCATGCACTTTGAAAGCATTTAATGATTGCCTAAGTTTCCATTAAGTGGCTGCACTATAAATTATTAAACAGCTCCTGGAGCCTTGCTGTTTGCCTGATTCACCATTGTAAACAAATGTGTAACTTACATATTTTTGTCCATAAACCTTTTAGCAAATGATTCTTTTCCTTAGACCGTTTTCCAGGAGTGGAGTGTTTGGTCACAGGATAACGAATAGTTTAAGGTTTCTGAAACAACGTGCGAAATTCTTTCCCCAAAGAATTGAGTCAATTTACTCCTCCATCGTCATTGCGTGTGCATGTGTGATTCATTGTGCTTTCAGTAGTATCTGGGTATCATCATTGAAATGTGGTTGTTTGTTTTGCTAGGGGAAGTTGATATCTTGGTTTTCATATCTTTGATTAGAATAGTTTTGTAAATGTTTGTTAGCCAACCAAACTAACTTTTTGTGTGTGAATAGTCTGAGCCTCTCATTTGGTTACCAGGGTTTTTCCTGAGTTTTCTTTTATGTTTTCTACGTACCAGAGGTTATTCCGCTTCATTCTTATTTCAAAATATATTTTTATTCCATTTCTTTGACATTTTGCTGCAGATATTCCTTTGGATTTTTGTTTGCCCTACATAATTTTAACCCCCCCAATGAAACAAATCTTAATGTAATCAAATCTAAAAACCTCCTGCCTTTGAGACTTCTCACCGGCTGCTACGTTTAGAATTACCTTGCCTCCAGTCAGTTGTAAAATTTTCAGTTCTATTTATCTAATACCTTGATTCTTTCCAATCCACCTGAGGTTACTTTTGGCCTTTGTGGCAGGGAAGCAATATGGAGATATGAGATGGCTTGGTGATGGTGGGTTGTTTTTGTTTGTTTTTCTTTTTTTCCCTGCAGAGAGCTTGCCAGGCTGGACTGTGTTTCATCAGGATAAGGGTGTGGGAGCAGTTTAAACACCAACTCTGCCCAAGTGAGTTCCCCGGTTGTCAGTTCAGGTGACGGTTGAAGACTGGGTGGGGCTGGGAATAAATATTTTGATCAGGCGTGAAAGAACCCTAAACAGGCTGTACAAAGACCTAGATTTAAGTCTCCTTCCTGCCACAACCTGGGGGTGTGGCTCCTGGTAAATCACTTTACAAGGGTTTTCACTTGTAAAATGGAAAAAAATAATCCCTGCCCTGCCTTCCTCCGAGGATTGTTTTCAGGATCAAATGAGCTAATGGGAACGGGCTTTGTCAGGCATTACACAAATGTAATGTGGGATTAGGGCCAATGGTTTACTCACGGAAGCCTGGCTCACTTCCAGCGATTCCCCACGGAAATAGCTAATAGATGGAGGGTAAAGGCTCCCCCTTGCAGCCCACTTTAGGAAACGTGTCCTGAAGGCATCTTTTCCAGACAATGGCCTGGTCTCTGGAATTCTGCCCCAGGTCTCCTGACCTGCGGTGGTTGACTGCCTTCCTGAAGTCTGTCCAGCCTGAGGCTCCCCAGCCCCAAGGTATGTCAGCACACTAGTTCTGCAGGTTTGGATGACGAATCTTCTCTCCACATACTCAGAGTTCTCACCCCATTTTTAAAAAATCATTTTATTAGGGACTCATACAACTCTTATCACAATCTATACATACATCAACTGTGTAAAGCACATTTGTCCACTATTGCCCTCATCATTCTCAAAACATTTGCTCTCCACTTAAGCCCCAGGCATCAGCTCCTCATTTTTGCCCCTCCCTCAGTCACCCCACTTTTCTGAGGAGGGGAGGAAGCCGGTCCCCCGGGGAAAGGGATTCTTATTTTCATTCTGATGGTACTTTCTGGAGAATTTCAAGGGGGACGGAAATTAGGGGAGGGCTTATGGATTCTAGAAGAATTGGAATGGTAATTTTCCCTCCCTCTCTATGTAAGGCGCTGCCTGCCTGTTAGTAGAGAAGAAAGCAGTTTAATGCTCCCTTGACTTTCCACGTTAATGGGGCTGGTGCAGCTGTTGTCTCTGACCCAGCACCCCTGGAGGGGGTCTTTGTGCCCTCGCCAGGGTAATTCCAAAGGTGTTCTTTGTGCTGTTGGAAATGGAACATTGAGGTGGTATTTTTATTTATTGTTTTTAATCTTGCCTTTGTAATGTTTTTATGCGAAGATTGTGATGTAACCAAGCTGGGACGTCTGGGATGTCACACTCCCCCATGATCTAGATGGATTCATTAGTAGAGAACTACCTCCATTTTCTGGGGGCTGTGGGGGACACTTCTCTGGAGAGCTCTGGGAGGGAAGTGCCAGTGGGAGGTGGAGAAATGTCCTGGATTAGGATTCAAGATCCAAGATGCTGGCATGCAATTCAAAGTAATGAGAGGGTATCAGAAATGGAAGCAATGAAGGCTATGTGCCCTGCACGCTGGCTGGCTGCCTGCCCAGAATGAGATGTTCAGGGAAGCGGATTCAGAACCACTCCTGGAAGAACACAGAATTCAAGGTGATTGTTTTTTTTGCCATTCGCTCGGACTGCCTGAAAGTTCACTCCAGGGGTCTGCCTTCCACTCACTGGAACTTTGCCCCAAGTGCCTGGTGCTTAGAGACAGGATAATCACTTAGCTATTGACTGAATGATGAGTGGTTTGAATCCACCCATCAGGGCCTCAGAAGAAAGCCCTGGTGCCCCACTTCTGAAGGTCTGTCGCCGCCGAGAACCCGAGGGAACACAGTTCTACTGGGGATACACAGGGCAGCTCCCCAAATTGGAATCAACCCAACTCCACCTCCAAGAGTTGAGGAGTTACACTTAGGAGACCAGCGCTATGGTCAAGTGGGTTGGCTGCGGTAGGAATCCCCTGTAGGTGACTTCATCCTTCTGTGCCTTGGTTTCTCATCTGACCAGTGGGGAGATGGGCCTTTATTCCTTTGTTGAATTAGGTGGGGTGGGGAACAGATGTCAGCTTACTGATACCAGACTCCACAGAGGGTAACTGTGCTGCTGCTTGGGTATCTGGTATTTCATTGGTGTTTTTTCTTTGTAACTCTATTTCTTGGCTGCTAGGAGATAATTGAGTCTTCAGTGTGCTCCGAATGCAGCCTCTGAACTTTTTCAATTTGAAGGCACATGGAAAACAACACATCGAACATGTCAGATGGCGTAACTGCGGGGCTCCCGCTGCGTGGTTTTTCTGGCGTGGGCTGTTGCCTGTCTCCAGTGCTCCTCCAGTCAGGCAGCAGGGGAACGTGGCCGTGGCTGGTTGAAGCAATGAACCCTCTCAGAGTCCTTCCCATTCCTAACCCAACCTTGCCCTCCTGGGTACCTGCTTCCCTCCTCTGTGATAAAGATAAAGGTGGTGGAACCTGAGAGACTCTAAAGGGAGGGGGACTTTTGTTTGTTGCTTGCTGAAGGACAGGAAGTTCCCATCTGAGATAGCTTATTGTGCCAGCCTGGCTGATAAACGCAGGTGGGATTGACTGAAGGGCAGAGAGAGAAATGGCTTGGTGGGCCTTGCCTTTCTTGTGTCTCACTCTGTGATCATCGGACCAGTGTGCGGCTGCCTTGCTTGTCCTGTGCCTCAATTTAAAGGCTACACTGCCTGTGGGACGCCTAGCCTGTGGAGTGTGTCGCTGTAAGTTGAGGTCCCTTTAAGACTTCTCTGGAGCTGGGGACTGGTGGTTGGTGACCTGCCTTGTGATTGGCTGCTGTGCTGACATAGCCTAGCTCTCTCTACAAATAGAGGAAGCTCTGGCATCAGACAGAAACTTGAAGGACTGCTAGTCTCTCAACTTCTCTCACGACGTGAGTTGCACTGAGCCATTTGTAGTGCTTTCTAATTTAACTGTTTATTTCTTGTATTATATATTTATCTGTATATGATTTAACAGTTCATTTCTCGTTATATGTCTAATTATCGTTATAAAGAAATATATTAAATTATCAGCAATTTGGTTTTATCTCTCTAGAGAACCCTGTCTAACACACCATCCTAGTGGGAGTGGTGGTTAGGCTGTTGAATTGATTTTTGATTCCTGCCAACCCCATGGGACAGAATATCTATCTAGCTATCTATCCCATGGGGTCTCCTGGGGTATCATCCTTTTTTAACTTCGTGTTGTGATTGGAAGGAGCCCAAGGCCAGCAGTTCGAATCCACTAGCCCCCCTGTGGCTTTCTGCTCCCCTAAGCAGTCAGAGTCTCGGAGACACCAGGGGCAGATCTGACCTGCCCTGTGGAGTCACTGTGAGCCCTATGGGCTCCATGGCAGGTTCCTTGGGGGAGACGGATTTGGGCTAACAGGTTATAACCTTGTGGGGAGTCGATTGCCATGTCTTTCTCCCAGGGAGCCCCTGGGCGGGGTTACCTTGCAGACCTCCCAGCTGACAGCCGGGTGCTTAACTGCTGCACCACCAGGGCTTCCGCACACCGAGATTGGAAGTATCGGTGCAGCTCATAAGCCAGTGGTTTCCAGGGAGTGGGGTGAGGGGGTGGGGGATTGACTCCAAAGTTGGAGAGCACACAGGAATCTGGGGGGGTTGGAACTGCTTTGGATCCGGGTTACTTTGATAGTTGTACAAGTGTCTACAGGTCTTAACACACTCATAACCCTACACTCAAACAATACAGACCAGATTATAAACACGGCGGCTTTATTATGGTGGTGATTGCATGGGAGTGTACATTCGTCAAGACTCAACTCACACTTAAAATGAGTGAGTTTAATTCTATACCAGCTATACCTCAATCAAGTGGCTTTAACGTGCCATGGAAGGGGAAGGGCCACGGCAAAGTATACCTCATGAGGGGGAGGGGGCCAAAGGAAGGGGGGGGGGAGGAAAATGAGCGGATTCCAGGAACCCAAGAGGCAAGCGAATTTTGGGAATGATGAGGACAACAAATGTATAGATGTGCTCTACACAATTGATCTATGTATTGTGATGAGTTTTATGAGTCCCAATAAATTGATTAAAAAAAAAAAAAAAGTATACCTCATGAATCCTCCTGACATCCACTCACTGGGGGTGGCATAAGAAGTGAGCACTGGGCTGTTGGCTCCTGCCCAGAACACATCTCTCCCAGAGGGCCCTGGGGGGGTTGTCATGGCCGGGGGCTCAGCTTGAGAGGGCTGGGGTGCCATTCCTCTGCCACAACACTGTAGGAAGTGCCTAGACTACCAGGTCCCGGGGCCACAGCACCCCACCGTGGAGATGGACCTCACCACGCTTATGAGGTGTCCACAAAGACCCAATCACCAGAGCACAGGAACACGATCATTTACATCAGTGGTTCTCAACCTGGGGTCGCGAGCCCTTGGGGGTCGAACAACCTTTTCACAGGGGTCACCTAAGACCATATTTCTGATGGTCTTAGGAACCGAGACATGGCTCCTCTATCCGTCTCCGGGGGGTACCCCAACATGCGGAACTGTATTAAAGGGTCTCGGCATTAGGAAGGTTGAGAACCGCTGATTTACATGGTTGAAGGACTTGTGCTAATGGGATTAAATGCAGAGTTTGAGATGGAAGATTCTCCTGGATTATCTGAGTGGACCCAATGTAATCACAAGGGTCCTCACAAGAGGATACAAGAGGAAGACAGGCAGGCCCGTGCCAGAGAAGGACGTCGGAGAAGGCCGTCGGATGACAGACACAGAGACTGGCGTGATTGCTGACTTTGAAGATGGAGGAAGGGACCGTGGACCAAGGAATGTGAGCGGCCTGCAAATCCAGATGCACTGCCATCGAGCCAATGAGACAGGGTAAAGCTGCCCCTGTGGGTTTCCGAGACCGTAACTGTTTTCTTTTTGAGAGTGGAAAGCCCGATCTATCTCCTGTGGAGCCGAGGGTGGTTTCAAACTGCTGACCCATGGTTAGCAGCCCAACACATAACCACTGTGCCTCCAGGGCAGCCTCTAGGGTAAGAAACCACATTCGCTGCCATGGGTCCAGGCCAACCCCTGGCAAAGCCTGTAGGACCGTCGAACTGCCCCCGTGAGAGTCCGAGACT